AAAAAAAGAAAAGAAAACTACAATGAATCATGTTCTCCCTCTTTAGGGCTGGGCATTAAGGAGGTTAAGGAGGAGAAGTATGATATCATCAAAACAAATGGAAGACTTTCTGTTTGTTGTTTTAAAGATAATCCACAGCTCAGAGGTCTTACTCCTCAGGGAGCAGCCGGGCTTGAGAATACTGAGAATCCAACGAACTTGCCGGGAGAATCGAGTGGGTCCCACGGAAGTACAAATAGTGGGAAGGTGAGCGTATTTAATGAAACTACCTGGGTGCATTTTCTACCCCTCAGAACCCTGAAATTGTTGTTCTGCCAGGTGCTCAGCCCTCTGGGTCACCCACTGAAGATTCATCACCTCCTCCTCCAATACTCAGAAGCCACTGCCGGGCTCGTTCTCTGCATTCAACACCTCCCATTTCAAGGGTGCCGCCTGTTGGCCTTGGGCAACCTCTATTCCAGGCAGGGTCACGACTACCTGCCCAAAAAACCAGAGCGCTGCAGACATTCAATGATCCAATTAAGGGGATGAGAGAGGCTGTGAAACAGAGATGGGATAGTGGCCTGTGGATTCCACAGGGTTTAGATGGAGAAGGAACAGGAAGCAGAAGGGTGGTATCAGGAACAGAAGGGGAAAGGAGAGAGATTTGGAGTGAGAGGAGCCGGTGCCTGGTTTGTAAAAAACAAAAATGTCTAAGAGTTAGAAGATTTCAAAGAGGTTTTGCTGTACATCAAAAGTAAACTCTTCTCTGGGCGCCTGAGTGTCTCAGTGGGTGAAGCTTCTGACATCGGCTCAGGTCATGGTCTCATGGTCTGTGAGTTCAAGCCCCTCATTGGGCTCTCTGCTGTCAGAGCCCCCTTCAGATCCTCTGCCCCCCTCTCCTTCTGCCCCTCTCCTGTGTGCGCTCTCTCTCTCTCAAAAATAAATAAACATTAAAAAATAAATAAACCCTTTCCAAAATCGTGCCATTTGTGACAACATGGATGAAATTGGAGGGCATTATGCTAAATGAAATACACCAGACAGAGAAAGAAAAGGAAAGAAAAGAAAAGAAAAAGTTGGATCCATAGAGACTAGAAAAGTGGCTGCCAAAAGAAAGAAAGAAAGAAAGAAAGAAAGAAAGAAAGAAAGAAAGAAAGAAAGAAAGAAAGAAAAAGGAGAGAAAAGAGGTTGCCAGGGCCTGTGGAGTGGGAGAAATAGGATGTGGTTGGTAAAGGACACAGACTTTCAGCTGTAAGGTAAGGTCTGAGGATCTAATGTATAATGTGGTGACTGTAGTTAATAACACTGTGTTGTATAATTAATTGCAATCAGCTAAGACAGCAGAACCTAAGAGTCCCGTCTCTCGCACACAGACAAAAGGTAAATCTTTGAGCTCATGGATGTTCATTAATTCAACGGCAGGAATCCTTTCACAGGGTATGTCAGATCACATTGAACAGTTTAAATATCCTACAATTCTGTCCACTGAATATCTTAACAATTCAATAAAGCTGAAAAAATAAACCCTTTCCCTTGTGATACTTTTTTTTTGTGAGACACAAGATTTGAACTTTTCTTTCTTCATCTACATCTCTACATCTCTGAACCTGACTCCCTTTTGACACTGAACCTCTTGGGGCCCTGAGAATCTGTGAGTTGAATGACTTATTCGTGTTCATTTAACACGTATCCCTGGTGGCTGCTGGCTGGATGTCCAGGAGTGTGCTACAGTGAGGGCAGGCACTGCCTTTGGAGCCAGGCAGGCCTGGGTTCAAATGTCAGCTGTGCCCCTTGCAAGACGTGGGACCTTGGTTGAAGTGACAAAATCATAACTTTTACCATTTGTTTGTGGCTACTAAGCAGCAAACTCTCTACTCTGGTCACTCCCATTTTGCAGACTGGGATATTGCCTTAGAGAGAGGCCAACTAACTTGCTCAAAGAGGAACATGTAGCCACTGGTGGAGCCAGAACTCAAATACTCAGATCTACAGGACGCTAAAGACACCATGTTCTCATCTGCTGCCTCTGTCATTGCCCCACTACTTAGCATCACTAAGCCTCACTTTCCTTGGGTATAGAATGAGAATTCTGATACCTGCATCAAAGAGCGGTGAGCAAAGAACGGAGTAGGTGAGCCTGGCATACGGTCAGGTTGATTTTACAACTTACCACCCCCAAGCACAGTGAAGTGCAGAGGCTGATTTCAGATCCTTCCTGGAGGGTGAGGCCGGGCACGGGGTGGGTGAAAGAAAATGGAGAAAAGGCATAGGGACAAGAGAACATCATCAAAGATCAACTTGTCACATTAACAATATTGTCCCAGATCTCGTCGAAGCGTAGCAACCCCTAATGGGTCCAAGACCTGGAGCTCAGGGGTCCCCCTCCGAAGCCAGTCAAGAGGACAGAGGTGGCACTAAAGTGGAAGTCTTGTGTTGCAGAGCAGACTGCTGTCACCTCGGGCTCTGTTCACTGCATACTGTCGGAGGGCTCCTATGTGACACGTGTGACAGAGATAAAAGATAAAGCATACTATTCGCAAGCCCTCACTGTGCCTCACCTTCGCAGAAGGATAGATCTTTTGGGCTGAACAGAAATGGACAGAGCCAGGTGGAAAACAGACCATAGGGGAGCGGTCTGGGCAGCCATACATATTTCCTGTACCTTTTCCACATGCCAAGCCCTGTTCTAGGGCTGGGAATGCAGCAGTGAAGGAGAGACACTTTTGTCTTTGTCCTTCGAGTGATATTTGGGATGTGGGGAAGAGAAATGTCCAAGGGGTACTGCTAGTGGCAAAGTATAAAACAGGCCAAAGAGAAGCAGAGGCCAAATCACGAGTGGCTCTGTGCACCTCGTTAAGGAGTTCGGATGGTGTCCAATGGCAATGGCTTTGAACAATGTGTGGGCAATGGCAACCTAGGAACAGTGTGGGTGGTCTGTGTGAAGGGCTCAAGCCTAGAGGCAGGGAGTATGGTGAGAAGAGCCTTGCCTTTGGGGGCCTGCCTCTTTCTAGAGCTTCCCTTGGCCATCTGAATGCATTTTGGGGGGATGATTTTCTTCCCAGCTGGACTCACCAAACTGGAAACCACTCTCAGAAGGCTGTGACTGGCAATAATGCCAGTTCAGAAAGATGGCTTTTGCCAAAATACACATCTGACAAGTGCAATGGAGTATTTGGAAAGAAAGAGAGAAAAAAGAGAAAAACAATAGTAAATTAATTAGGATAATCATCTGTAACCACAATCTTGATAAAAAGGTTTTCTGTAACAATTTCTAAAGGACACAGCCAGAAGGAATAGGATTAAGTGCGACAACTTATTTACTATGTAGCTCACTGTATTAATGTTTAAGATGTCAGTAATATCCAAAATCTCTTCTGTAGCAGCCACATAAGACAGAGATGTTGCGGGTTTTCTATAGGAAGCATACATTTAAAAACCCCAAATTGGGGGGGTGGGGGGGGGCGCCTGGGTGGCTCAGTCGGTTGAGCGTCCGGCCTCGGCTCAGGTCATGATCTCACAGTCTGTGAGTTCGAGCCCCACGTCGGGCTCTGTGCTGACAGCTCAGAGCCTGGAGCCTGCTTCGGATTCTGTGTCTCCCTCTCTCTCTGCCCCTCCCCTGCTCATGCTCTGTCTCTCTCTGTCTCAAAAATAAATAAAAACATTAAAAAAAATTTTTTTTAAATAAAAACCCTAAATGGGCCAATTTGATCTTGTATTTCTGAAATGCAATTACTGGCTCTTAAATCCCTGGTTCCTGTCTCTGCAATTCTCCCGGGATAAAAGCAGGTTTGAGGTTACTTTTTTCTCCTAAGAAGTCAAGTTCAAGCTCCCCACCTTTGACAAGTTCCTGCAAGGTTCTAGGAGTAGGTGCAGTTGGCTTTGCTTTAAATCCTATTACTATTCTTGGTATTTACAGAAGGAGGCAGTTTTTCCAACGAAAATATTTGGACCACATCACATACAGAGTCGGTCACCTGTTTGTGTGAGCTGATGCCACCCTAAATGCACACATTCCATTCTGAAACAGTTTTGCTTAGTTTAGCATCCTAGAGCCAGGGGATGTGAAACCTGAGACAAATCAAAATGCCTTCCAGGATTTTCTTCTAAGGCAGTTTTCCTTCAGTGTAAAACAACAGCAAAACTGATTTTTCTTCAGCTTTCCCAGTCAAAACATCTGAATCAGACTTCAGGGGTGTACAAGAAGGTAGCTGGCCCTGTGGCAAAGTTCATGAATCCAGGGCGCCTGGGTGGCTCAGTCGGTTAAATGTCCACATACCCAGCTCTCTGCTCCCTTCAGTTCATCTCAACCAGTATTTGCTGAACCCCGACACACGCCAGACGTTTCACTAGGCTCTGGTGACAGAGGCCTAAGTTACGGTCTTCACCCTGCAGGCACTCACATCTGGTAAGAGTCAGAAACAGAGATCAACGCAGTCCTTACAAATCGATTTATCCTTGGGGTAATCCAGTCTCAAAACGGCATTATGCTGAAGAAAACAATGTTCAACACCGGTAAGTTATTGGAAAGTAAACTGTTTTACTTACTACTTGCTCTTCTTAGAGATGAGCTAAGGGAGTTCCATTCACAATTCACTACAACAATTTCTAATATCCCTAGATAAATACCAAATGCGCAATCTGGAAAACGAAATTATGGGCATAATGGAAATAAGATAAAAACTTAAAAGACGTGGAAGATGATGGATTAAAGAGGATGAGACTGGAAGAAGAAAATTGGGGAGGACTACCACACTATCTGGAGGCAAGAGGTGATGAGGGCCTCAACTTGAACGATGGGGTGGGGGTAGGGAGGACAGGGTGTGTTCAAGAGACAGGGAGAAGAGAGGAATCAATTCAGGCAGAGATGCGGACAGTCCTGCAGACCCAGCTGTGGTCTCATTTTTTCCACTTGGAAGTCCCTCCAGTCACTTTAGACTCAATATGTCCAAACTGGACATATCACCTTCGATCCCACGCCCCTTCGTGACTCTCTCATCTAGGTCGGTCATGCCACCAATTTTCTAGCCTCTGGCTTTAAAAACACGTAAGTTATTTCCTTTCTCCTCTCCATCCCTACAGTCAAGTCTAGCACTAAGCCCTGTCATCTCTTCCTTTGACACACCTTCCCATAGCTCCTTGCTCTCCACTTACGTTCCCACAGGAGAGATCCAGAGCACCGCTAGCTTATTACAGTAACATATGGATGGCCTCCTTGATCCCAGTGTCTCTCCACTGTCTGGCACATCCATGTCATGACAGGAAGATGAATTTTCCCAAAGCATGGCCTTCTTCCTCACTGCATCAGATCCAGACAACCTCTGCCCAGCGCTCAAGAGATTCACCGAATGGGCTCACTGTAATGATCTGGGCTTTGTTCTAATCACATACCTTATCCTCCAGGCAGATGGTGTTCTTTGTGCCCCACAAGTGCCAGGCTCAAACCCACCTTGTGTTACTGCTCAGGATGACCTCCTACCCACAGTGTTCTTCCTCCTTCCTTTACCTTTCCAACCTGGTGAGGGGCAACACTGATCAGTGTTGGCTCTACGACCTAGTCATCTGCAGTCAACATCACACAATGTGGCACTAAATGATTCCTTGCTTGTTCCAAGTGCCCCGGTTTTCTCTCCCCAGCAAGGCTATTCATTTATTCAGAAACAAAAATCTATTACTCTGCCTAGCTGCTTCTACTAACCTGGGAAGGAGAAAGATCTCCAGGGAGTTTGGCATTTTGGTTTCTGCTCTTATTTACATTATATTATTCTCAAATGGAGTGTGAGAAATATAACAGTAATTTTTGATCAATTCTTATAATTTGCTCTCTAATTCATTTTTGATTATTACATGATATACTTACTTTTAAACACTTATTCATTTTTGAGAGAGAGAGAGAGAGAGAGAGAGAGACAGCGTGTGTGGGGGAGGGGCAGAGAGAAAGAGGGAGACGCAGAATCTGAAGCAGGCTCCAGGCTCTGAGCTGTCAACACAGAGCCTGACGAAGGGCTCCAACCCACCAACCATGAGATCCTGACCTGAGCCGAAGTCAAACGCTTATTAACCGACTGAGCCATCCAGGTGCCCCGATTAAATGGTATATTTAAAGTGAAACTATAATGCACATTCAAGTCTTACAACCTCTTGGTAAACATGAACATCACCATCTCTACAAACTGTAGTGAATATATTCCTTTTCTTTTTCATCAGAGATCTTAATGTTACTAAAAACGGACAAAAGGGAGTTTCTACTTATGGAGACCCCACCATATGTCAGGCACTGAATTAGGTGCCTCACTCTACTCTCCTGAGTTGGGTACAAAGACTTTTTTTTTCTTAAAAGTTGGTTTTTATTTAAAAATTATGCTTAAAAATAGTACTTGGATTTGAAGTTGAAGAAATGCACTTTGAAGTCTAATGGAAATTAAAAGTACTTAATTGCCACATTTTTGACTTTACAAAGAAAATAACGAAACATTGTTTTAGAAAGTTGCCTATGAAATAAAGCTGTGAGATTTCACAAGCAGTTTTAGGAAAAATCTAAAACATGAATAAATCAAGAAATAGAGAAATATAAATACTCATCACAGTTGAATGTATCTTGGCATAGTATCAAGAAAAAATCAAAGTGTTTATAAATTTCATGTACTGAAGGTTGAAGAAGGGAAAAATACACCAAATTATGGGGCTTTAAAAACCATAACTGGAGGAACATACAGGTAACATAAGGTTCCTTTAGAGCTCCCTACACCTTGCTAGCCCCAGCTCCCTCTGCTGCGCATTCCAATTTGCTTAAACATAACATTATCAATCCTTTCTCATTTTAAGAGGCTCTGTTTTTTCTTAAAGAGTCTTTTCCTGGGGCACCTGGGTGGCTTAGTCAGTGAAGCCGTTAAGCATTAAACTTCGGCTCAGGTCGTGATCTCGCAGTTTGTGAGTTCAAGCCCCAAGTCAGGCTCTGTGCCTGGACAGCTCTAAGCCTGGAGCCTCCCTTGAATTCTGTGTCTCCCTCTCTCTCTGCCCCTCCCTTGCTCGTGCT